ATTGATCGAGCACCTGCCCGGCCGAAAGGTATACCTGGGAACGGGTTTAACCCCCTAGCTAACTCAGGAAAAAACTTATTCAGTTTCTTATCGATAACATGGATTGTTTTGCTTGGTCCAATTTTGACATGACCGGGATCCCACTGGAGATAACAACATACTAAGCCTCGAGCCCAGGTTCAAACCGGTGAAGCAAAAGAGAAGGCCGCAGTCCGAGGTAAAGCATGCATTCATAAAGTATGAGGTAACTAAACTTCTTGAAATAGGGTCCATTCGGGAGGTAAAATACCCCGAATGGTTAGCCAATGTAGTCGTAGTCCCTAAAAAGGGAACAAACTTAGAATGTGCGTAGATTACAAGGATTTGAACAAGGCATGCCCAAAAGACTCTTTTCCACTGCCTAACATCGATCACATGATCGATGACATGGTTGGCCAAGAGATCCTTACCTTTCTCGACGCCTATTCCGGGTACAATCAAATTCAGATGAACCCGGAAGACCAGGAGAAGACCTCGTTTATCACCAAGTATGGAATATATTGTTACAATGTAATGCCCTTTGGGCTAAAAAATGTAGGAGCTACTTACCAACGCCTAGTAAATAAGATGTTCAAAGAACAAATAGGTAAGTCAATGGAAGTTTATATTGATGGCATGCTAGTTAAGTCCCTGAGCGCAGAGGACCATTTGGCTCATTTGCAGAAAATGTTCAAGATTTTGAGGAAATATAACATGAAACTCAACCCCGAGAAATGTGCTTTCGGGGTCGGCTCGGGAAAGTTCCTAAGCTTCATGGTGTCAAATCGGGGGATCGAGATCAACCCCGATAAAATCAAGGCCATCGAAGACATCACCGTCGTGGACAGCATAAAAGTCGTGCAGAGGCTAACCGGACGGATAGCTGCTCTAGGCCGATTTATCTCGAGGTCATCGGATCGAAGCCACAGATTTTTCTCTCTACTCAAGAAGAAGAATGATTTTACCTGGACCCCGGAGTTCAACAAGCATTAGAGGAATTAAAATAATACCTATCTAGCCCACCATTGCTTCACATCCCGAAGGCCGATGAGAAACTCTACTTATATTTCACGGTGTCGGAAATAACGGGATGTGGTGTCCTAGTTTGAGAAGACCAAGGTACACAATTTCCCGTTTACTATGTAAGTCAAACCTTAGGGGAAGCAGAAACTAGATATCCACACTTAGAGAAATTAGTACTTGCACTAATAAGCGCTTCTAGAAAGCTGAAACCATACTTTCAATGTCACCCCATATGTGTGTTAACCACTTACCCACTTCGTAATATTTTTCACAAACCCGAACTTTTGGGTCGATTGGCCAAATGGGCAGTCGAACTCAGTGGGTACGATATCGAGTATCAACCCTGAACGACCATCAAGTCTCAAATTTTAGCGGACTTCGTGGCTGATTTCACGCCAACCCTCGTGCCCGAAGTTGAAAAGGAACTCTTGTTAAAACCGGGCACATCATCGGGGGTACGGACCCTTTTCATAGACGACGCTTCTAATGTGAAGGGGTCTGGGCTAGGCATCATTTTGAACCACCCACAGGTAACACTATTAGGCAGTCTATCAAAACTTCTAGGCTGACTAACAATGAGGCCGAGTACGAGGCCATGATTGCAGGTCTCGAGCTAGCTAAAGACTTGGGGGGGAAAGTCATTGAAGCCGAGTGTGACTCTTTATTGGTGGTGAACCAAGTAAACAAAAGCTTCAAAGTTCGAGAATACAGGATGCAAAGGTATTTGGACAAGCAACAAGTAACTTTGCACCGCTTCAAGGAGTGAACTCTAGACCATGTACCTCGAGAACAAAACAGTGAGGCCGATGCGCTTGCAAACTTGGGATCATCAGTCGAGGAAGATGATATTATCTCCGGGACTGTCGTCCAATTATCGAGATCTATGGTCGAGGAGGGTCATGCCGAGATAAATTCTACAAATTTGACTTGGGATTGGAGGAATAAATACATTGAATATTTAAAGATTGGAAAGCTCCCATCGGACCATAAAGAGTCGAGAGCCCTACAAACCAAAGTTGCTCGGTTCACATAGGATGAAGATGGAACATTATACAGAAGGACGTTCGATGGATCATTGGCGATATGTTTAGGGCCAGGGGACACCGATTATGTTTTACGAGAGATCCACGAAGGCACTTGTGTAAACCACTCCGGCGCTGAGTCTTTGATTCGCAAAATCATTAGAGCAGGGTATTACTGGGATAACATGGGAAAAGACACTAAGGAGTTTGTTCTAAAATGTGATAAATGTCAAAGGTTTGCACCGATGATTCATCAGTCTGGAGAGCAACTTCATTATGTCCTATCCCCATGGCCATTCATGAAATGGGGAATGGACCTCGGCCCTCTACCAACGGCCCCAAGTAAAGCTAAATTCATTTTATTTATGACTGACTACTTTTCTAAATGGGTGCAATCACAGGCCTTCGAGAAGGTCAGAGAAAAAGAAGTTATAGACTTCATCTGGGACCACACAGTGTGTCGATTCGGGATACCTGCCGAAATCGTATGCGACAACGGAAAGCAATTCATCGGCAGCAAGGTAATGGAGTTCCTCGAAGAACACAAAATAAAAAGGATCTTATCAACGCCGTATCATCCGAGCGGAAACGGACAGGCCGAATCGATAAACAAGACTATCATTCAAAACTTAAACAAAAGGTTGAATGCCAAGGGAAAATGGAGAGAAGTTCTACTCGAAGTTCTTTGGGCGTATCGAATGACACGAAGTCCAGCTTCACTATAATCCAAAGGGTCAAAGCAAATGGGGTTTTGAATGCATCATTTTTAATTAGATGAGACATCAATGATAAACACCCAAACAAAGGTCCACTGCAATTACTGCTCCTACACAAACTATTTGTTTTTATTCTCTATGGTGCGTGATCAAATCTTTTATTTTAATTAAGTCCATTCATTTAATGCATTTTTTCTGATTAAAAATGCATTTGTACCATTTTTGCAGGTTTTGATGACGTCTCCTCAGGCTGTTGTGGAAGTGGGCTTTTCGAGGCTGCAATTTTCTGCAATCCAAACTCAATTGTTTGCAATAATGCTTCGGAATATATTTTTTGGGACGCAGTCCATCCAACTCAAGCTACTTATTATAATTTGTTCCGATCCTTGCGTCCCATCATTGATTCTGTTATCAAACAATAACAATTTTTGGGTTAAAAAAAAAGGAAAAGATGTGTTTGATGAATGAAAACTGTTTAAGAAATCTTTTTCCATGATTCTATCATTATGGTGGTATGATGTCTTGTGGTTTTTCTTCCCTACTTTGCAAATACTTTTTAGTGTTTAATATTTCTTGGTTGACCAAAGATATATAGAAGTAGTAGATTGAGAGCCATTTTTTGAAAGTTTTCCATAATATTTCCAATTCCCTTTTGGTATCCGTAATAGAATTGAATAGAATTAAATTAGAGGAAAGAAGTATCTGTCTATCCTATTAAGGGTGTCCATGAGCAATGACGGAACAAAAAACTAATAAAACGGGATTCAAAAAAAAAAATTAGAATGTCACATTTGGGATTTAAAACCCCTTTACTACTATACTTTTCCTTTATGTCAAGGGAATTCAACGTCTTACGAATAACTTAAAAAAAATTTAATTTACTCTATTTACAAAGTGTAATTTCCTGATGAATGGGATTCAATTCCTTCACTCCACTTATATTCGCCACTGTTCATGAGCCCATGAAACATATCGAGATTGATTGTTATTTTGTGATGAGGAAAAGCCGATTGATATTTGATAGGCTGGTTTCCTTGGATTTTGTCTATACTTTTTTTTAAATTGCTGATATATTGACCAAGCCCTCGGTTGGTGTCCGGCGACACGCGTTGATATATCCGAGTTGAGAATGGCACTCCCTTTCAGCTTCAGCGAGGGGTGTTGGGGTGGATTTTCGGTCTGGCCCAAAATGGCCCAACGTTATAAATCCACTCAAGCCCAACATGACAAGCCCATTCTAGAAGCAGTTCGTGTCGTTAAAATATCATGGTATAGCCAGTTTTCACACTGGTCAATGAAAAATAGCCAGCGTTTACCAAGTTAATGAAAAATAGCCACTATTTTGCTGCAACAGGGACTGGTCCAGTATAATATACGGGAGTTCTGGTGCATTTGTGTACGAACTCCAGCATATTATGCTGGACCAGTATACTTTGCTAACTCCTGTAAAATTTGCGGGAGACTGGAGCACCAGTGCTCCAAACTCAAGTATATTATACTGGACAATTATACTTGCTGGAACTCCCGTAAAATTTGCGGGAGTTCCAGCATAATTATGCTTGAACTCCCGTAAAATTTGCGGGAGTTCCAGCATAGTTATCCTGGAACTCCCGTAAAATTTACGGGAGTTCCAACATACTTATGCTGGAACTCCCGTAAAATTTGCGGGCGTATTTTTCCGGATTTTGAACAGTGTTTTCGCTCAGATTTAAAGTGGCTAAATTTCGATGACTTTTGAAACTTGGCTATTTTTCAACGACCAGTGGTAAATCTAGCTATTTTTGAATTTCTCCCGTTCGTGTCTAATTATATGGGCTTTTCCCACTTTTAGCCCACCCCAAAAATTATTTGTATTTGGCTGCCGAAAAAGTATATAAAATTTGTACAATTTTTGTATATTAATATATATATATATATATATTATATATATATATATATATATATATATATATATATATATATATATATATATATATATATATATATTGCTTTATTTGGAGAACGGCTATACAATGTCATTTTACCTAATTTTGTTATTGTTCTCACTGTTATATTTCTTTTATGTAAATTTAAATACCTGAGAGTTTTTAGAATCCGAGGTGATATTCATTTACTGTAACAATGTGTATTTCACAACGATCTCTATCGTAGTACATGGAGAGATTTATAGTATTTTACATGTACATAAGAATGACTAAACTATCCTTGGATACAATATCTATTACTCCCCCTCAAGCGATGCATGATCGGAAAGAACATAGAGCTTGTCACGTAGATATAACAATCGCGGAGAAGGAACTGCTTTGGTTAACAAATCAGCAAGTTGATCTTGACTTGGAACATATTGAACTTGGAGAGTACCTGATGCAACCTTTTCACGGACAAAATGAACATCAATTTCAATATGCTTGGTGCGAGCATGTTGGACAGGATTGTGAGCCAAATAAATAGTGCTAACATTATCACAAAAAATTATTGAAGGTGAAGAAACACATATGTGAAGATCTCAGAGAAGAGAGTGTAACCAAGTGAGTTCAGCTGCAGCATGAGCAACTGATCTATATTCAGCTTCAGCACTTGATCGGAGAACAACATTTGCTTTTTAGAAGACCATGAAATAAGATTTAGGGCCAAGAAAAATACAATATGCCGAAGTAGAACGGCGAGTAGTAGGACAACCGGCCCAATCCGCATCAGTATAACATTGCAAACTGCCAAGAGAACCACCAGCAACAAATAAACCATGATTCAAAGTTCCGTGCAAGTAGCGTAAAATTTGTTTTACCGCAGTATAGTGAATATCTAGGGGAGAATGCATAAACTGAGAAACTTGATTAACCGCGAAAGCAATGTCGGGGCGAGTGAACGTTAGGTATTGAAGACCACCAACAAGACTACTATAAAGAGTTGGATCAGAAAATGAAGGAGAGTCATTTGAATGTAGAGATAATTTGAGAGAAATAGGTGTTTGAAACTGGCTTGGACGATAGTAAATTGGAACGACTAAGAAGGTCCTTAATATATTTTGACTGACAAAGAAAATAGCCGCCATCGCGAGCACTAACAGAAATACCAAGGTAAAAGTTAACTAACCCCAAATCATTCATCAAAAATTCAGACTTGAGAGTTTCAATTTAAAGATTGAAGCAATGAAAGAGAGGAGGCAGTAAGAAGAATATCATCAACATAAAGAAGAAGAACATCAAAGCCTGAATTTTGTTTGTAAATAAAGAGAGAGGAATCAGAGGAGCTATTATTGAAAACCATGAGTTAGAGAGAAAAGAAGTGAAATCGTTGAACCACGCCCTAGGGGCTTGCTTTAAGCCATAAAGAGCTTTGTTCGATCGACAAACATTATGGGGAAATTGTGGATGAACAAAGCAACTAGCTGCTTCATATATACCGTTCATAAGATTACCATGCAAAAAAGCATTCTTAACGTCTAATTGATGAACAGGCCATCGTTTAGATGCAGCAAGAGCAAGAACCGTACGAAATGGTGACTGGTTTCACCACAGGACTAAACGTTTGATCACAGTCTAGTCCTTGTTGTTGATTATAACCCTGAGCCACATGACGAGCTTTAAGACGCTCACGAGAAACCATCTTGATTTTTGTTTAACCCTATACACCCAACGACAACCAATACCATTAGCATCGGAGGGGCGGGAACTAAATCCCATGTGTGGTTAGCCATGGAGGCATTATACTCTTCTGCCATTGCACGTCTCCAATGAGGACACTTAGAGGCTTCAGTAAAGGATGAGGGTTCAGAAGGAAGAAAAGAGGTATGAGAAAGCAATGAAGGAAGAATACGAGGCTTAAGAGAACCTGTTTGTTGACGGGTAATCATGTGATGCATTTTATTGTTGGAGGAATGATCAGCAGGTGGAAGGTCGATTTCACCACAAGGTTGTGTCTGTAGGGTATAAGGAAAATTATTTGAGATAGAGTGAGAGTTGTCCTGCTGGTACAAAAGCTGAGCAACATCAACAGTTGGTTGCGCAGAAGAAGGTGAAATAGTTAAGGGAATATCAGAATGTGACGAGGATTGAGGAGATGGAGGCAAATTTCTAGAATGTATTTTATTTGAATGCAGTTGAATATGTGATGGAGACTGTAGAGATAGAGTAGGAGATTGAGTCAACATTGGAGTAACATTATTTTCTTGCAACAGATTCTCCTTACGTGACCAGTAGGATGTGGAGAAAAAAAAGGAGATGCATTAGAAGTAGTAGCAAGTTGGTGTATTGAATTAGGAGTGGTAGTTGAAATTGAAAAAGCATCTGTAGCTTTAAAAAATCGTGAGGGATAAGGGTGAAACTCTAGTACAGAAGGAAGCTTAAAATTAGGACTTCTTGAACCAGAATTAGGTGAAGATAAAGAGAGAAGATAAGGATAAGGAAAAGAGTCCTTATTGAAAATAATGTGTCTAGAGATATATACCTTATTACTTGAAGGATCAAAACACCTATATCCTTTATAATTAGAGGGATAACCAAGAAAGATACAATGTTTGGATCTAGGACTCAACTTATGTGATGAATAATCACGTAAATTAGGATAACACGAACAACCAAAGACACGTAAGTGATGGTATGTGGCAGGCTTGCCAAAAAGAACTTCATATGAGGTCTTAAAGTTAAGTTTAGAGGAAGGAATAATATTTAAGAGATGGACAGCAGTGTTAAGAGCTTCAACCCAAAATTGAGATGGAAGAGAGGACTGAAATAATAAAGAACGAACCATATTTAAAATTGTACGATGCATGCGTTCGGCTTTACCATTTTGTTGGTAAGTATGAGGGCATGAAATGCGAAGCAAAACACCGTTGTTATTAAAAAAGGAACGAAATTCCTGAAGCTTAACAAACTCAGCAGCCCCATCACATTGGAGAGCTTTAATTTTTATAGAAAATTGAGTTAATGCATATGCATAAAACTGCTTGAACATAGTGAAAGCCTCAAATTTGCGCTTTATAGGAAAAACCCAAGAAACTTAGTGAAATCATCAATGAAACAAAATAATAATATCTAAAACCAAAAAATGAAGGAACTGGAGAAGTCCAAATATCACTATGGATTAATTCAAAAGGAGATTTAGAAAAGGAACACGAATCCATAAACGGTAACTTGTGACGTTTGCCAAGTTGACAAGCATTACATAAATTGTCTAAGCCTTGCAATGAAGAACAAGGCAAGTTATTAATCCTAACTAATCTAGCTAAAATTGCTGAGCTTAGATGTCCTAGCCGACGATGCCAAAGGTTTGGAGAGGCGCGAACACTGGCAAGAGCAGAGCAAGATGCATCAACTAGACCACCGAAAGGCAAGAGAGAGTATAAAGAAGTCCAGAGCTATTGCACCGATGAAGGAGCCTCTTAGTCGGGAATTCCTTAATAGACAAACTAAGAGGATCAAATTCAATAGAACAAATATTATCTGAGATAAATTTACGAACACTTAGTAAATTAGCAGAAAGGTGAGGAACAATTAAAATATCCATAAGAGAAAAGACGGAATAAGGAGTAGAAAGTGTACCATGGCCTGTATAGGAGATAGTAAGTTGAGTACCATTACCCATAGTTACACGATCGAAGCCATTATATGGATGAATGGATGATAAGATGGATGCATTTGGGGTCAGGTGAGAAGAAGTGCCACTATCCACAAACCAAGAGGCATCACCAGGCGAAGCATGAGACGAGAAAGAAGGATTAGAGTGAACATCTGAGACAAAAGCTTTAGAACCCAACGATGGGCAGTCACGAGCAGTACGGTAGGGCTGATAGCAAAGCTGACAAGAAAGTATTCCATGAGTGGTTGGAGAGGAAAATAACGGAGCTTGACTCGAAAAGGGCGGAGGGCCTAATATAGAGGGAAAACGGGGGCAAGCAGAAAATTGTTGAGGGGCAACGTTAAAGGATTTTGAGAATCCTTGATTGTGTCGACCTCTACCACGCCCACCATTAAAATTTCAGCCAACATTGTTGTGCCTACCACGTCCACGACCATTAGAGGAAAAAGACTGTTGCTTAGCCACAAAAGCAGTAGTAGAATTATCAGTAGATGGACGGGAGATACTACTCAACTGAGCTTCATGAAGAAAAAGAAGGGATCTGGTTTCAACAAAGGTGGGAAGAGGGATACGAGTAGAGATAGACGTGCTCACAGACATGTATTCAGGAGGTAGACCAGAAAGTATTTGTAAAACGAGATCCGAATCAGAGACGAGATTACCAATGGATGTTAACGCATCAGCAATGGACTTGAGACGATGAACATATTCATTTATTGAAAGATCACCTTTCTTAAGATTGTGAAACTGGACCTTGAGTTGAAGAGTTCGGGAACTGACTTGGTCACGAAATAGACACTCAATTTGAAGACAAGCATCCCTAGCAGTGAGAGTATGGTGTGGCTTGATTATAGCCTGGAGAATCTCTTGAGAAATAGTTGCATGAATCCATGAGAGAACAATAGAGTCCAGTTGAACCCATTGTTCGAAAGCAGGATTGGATACAGAGGTGCCATTATCACGAGAAATAGAAGGCTCGGGACAAGGGATACTTCCATCAATGAAGCCATAGACACCATGACCCTTAAAGACAGGCAAGAAAAGTTCTCTCCATAACATATAATTTGTGTAATCAAGAACCGTTGGGACAAGATTCTTAATGTTCGAGACGGAAATAACAGAATGAGATGATGGGAGAAGGAAGGAGCCTCTGCCATGGAGGTGGGTGGAGAAGGTGTTGATTCAGTAGCGGAAGAGGAAACCATAATTCGATGAAAGAGAGGAATAATCAGTGTAGAGATGACCTAGACTTTTGATACCATGTAACAATGTGTATTTCACAACGATCTCTATCGTAGTACATGGAGAGATTTATAGTATTTTACATGTAGATGAGAATGACTAAACTATCCTTGGATACAATATCTATTATTTACAACTTATTCTTAACATGGTCTCTAAGGTTTTCTCACTAATATATTAGATTTCTCTCTTCCATTCTTGATGGTTTCAGTACTATCTTATCTCTCAAGCATTTCGGCCTTCAAATTTCCATAAATCACCAAGTACTGAATTTATTTCCTTTACAGAAAGAAGAAGGAGCAAAAATTGTGTGATGCTCACAACTATTGGATGATATGATTTTTATTTCTTGATTTTTCACGATGGAGCGGTATTTGAGCTATTCATGTCTCTTGAGAATTTCAAACACATTATCATCCACTAAATTGTATCTCCAAAATCTTAAGTCATTAATATACTTTTAAGAAAAAATAAGTATGATTTCTTAATTTAATAAATTTATTCAATTGAATCTACACTCAAAGGTGAACCACAATTTCCGATCAATATTTCAGAAGCCAACTTTGCTGCTATCTTGAAAAATCCACAAGGCAAATATAGAACATGCACAATTACTATCTATGGGTAGGAAAATAACAATCATAACAAAATGATACTAATAAATAAGATGATTATCAGCTGAGTAAATCAGTATTGATAGCTTTAAGAGCTTCATCAGCCATGATCTTATGCATTTTCTCTGAGGGATGAACTGCGTCCCAGAACACAAACTTTGTTCGATCAGCACAAGTTGTCAACCCTTTACAAGTCTCTCCATACTCAGTCGTTCCTGTCCCACAGCAGCCTTTACTTGTCTCTTCAAAGCCTGTCAGTAATTCATTTCATTAGTATCGACCTTTTATATTACTCATTCTGTTTCAATTTAGATGAGGTGGTTTGACTTGACACAGAGTTTAAAAAAAAAATAAGAAGATTTTGAAACTTGTGGCCTTAAAAGCTTAAACGGTAAAAGCTTTGTGGGGCAATGACATTTGTGTGGTATAAAAGTTTCTCATTAAGGGTAGAATGGGTAAAATGAAGAGTTTAAAGTTGAATTATTTTCAAATTTAAGAATATATATGTTATTTATTTTGGAAAAGTACATCATCTAATTTGAAACGGAAGGAGTATCACTTTTCAGTGGATTATTAAAGTGAAGCTCGATTTATATAAACTTATTACTTGAAAATAATTAGATCTACTAACGACTATATGAAAATAATATACAAGTTGGAAATTTCTTTTGTTTCAAAACGTCAAGAATTTCCTTGTAAATCGTTGACCGAAATGGATAATTAGTTCCTTACCGAATTTATGGGGGTTTTGGACTGCTTCTTGAATGATGCTATAGATGTCTATAAAGGAAGCTTTGATCCCAAATAATCTTTTTAGAGTTTGCAACTCTCTTTTGAGTTTCAAATTGAAAGAGAAAGCAACTTTGTTCAAATCATCGTCGCACTTTGTTTCATCATCTCGAATGGTTCTAATAAGTGGTTCGCACCCAAGAGGAGGAACTCCTACCACTGCTAATCTCCTTGCTCCTACACCATGAATTATATCCTGCCAAAGTTCTTCACATCATCAATTGATATAATTTAAATCCATAAGCATAAACACTGTAACTTTGCTCGGCCAACTCTCTCATAAATTTTACCTAGAACAACTATACAAAAAGACATGCATCCCTAAGTAAAAACAGGAGAAATTTTAAAAATAGAGAAAACATTAATGTTTGATTCTATCTTAAACTTATAATACATGCTAGGTTTTTTAATACGTAGTCTAGCAGCTAATGAAAAGCGTGAAAATCTATGGAACGTCATGTTCAAATTCCAAAAAGTTAATGAAATAGTCGAGATGTAGGCAAGTTAGCGATCACCATCATTATTAAAACAAAAACGGATATACTCGTCTTTAAACATATATAAGAGGAGAGAATGAGGACCTTGACGTGAGTAAACATGGAATGGATCAAGAAGTTCTGGTATTGTTCCACAGAGTATTGCTTTGAACGTACAACTTCCACAAAGTAATTTTGGAGGAAGTCATTAGTGCCCATACTTAGTATATATAGTGCATTTTTCATTGTCTCTCTTGCTTTCTCAGCTCCCACCATTTGCCTCAAGTGGATTTCATAGTGCCTGAGATATTCTCTTTGCTTGGCTAGTGACATTGCATTCTGATTTTATCAGAAAAAACATTTAAAGAAGAAAAAGTTAATCCAAAAAAATAAACTGAAATACAAAATTAAGGACCAAGCTGGGACTTTGGAAATAATTAAATTAAAGATGTAGCTAGGAAAACAATTACATACAGACAAATTAGCAGTGAGATCATCATAACCAGAGCCAGCTGATGCAAAACTAATGCCATGTAGCATATCCATGTTGTTGATTTGTGGGTCGAGAAACCCTCTTGTCATGTTCACGTAACCAAGTGCCTCCGCTGCAATACGAAAATTTTACTTCAAATTAGAGGCTTTTTTACTTTTGTTTTATTTTCCTGTGGGGGAAAGGGAGTTGGAGGATTAGGAAATTAGCATGGCTCAGATCCATGATACCATACATGGTTGCATTTGGCTCATGTGCATTTAGCTACTTCATGGCTTCTAAAAGCAAGAAGGGAAAAAGATGGGGTAACAAGAACTTCTTATTTTATTTTTCTGAAAAAAAATGAAACTGAAAACAAATCAAAAAGCTTAGAAACTAATCCAATAAGGCAAGGATTATTATTGGACAGGATCACATTTAAGGAAAAAGGCCAAATTGGATTAGTTGGTGTTTTTAACTAACCCTCCATTACATATTTCGATCATGAATACCCATATTATTAGCGAATCGTCTTGTACATTTGACCTAACGACATGGGCTTGAAACCTTTGAACCCTGTTATATTTTTACCGAGTAAATTCAAAAATTGTACTTGTACGTTTAACTATATTTTAAAATTACTCTTAACCCGGTTACTATGTATTTTTCAAATTAAAGAAAGGGCCAAGCATCAACAATTATTAGTCAAACATATACAAACAGAAAAACACCGAACATAACTTGTAAAATTATCTACAGTATTTATTCGTTCTGTATCTTTTATTACTCTAATTAAGAAGTAGTAGCAAGGAAATTAAAAGAAGAGTTCGATAGTTACCAATGAAGTCAGTGGCAAGTTTGCCATTAGAGAACCTGCCAGTAGGTTGAGAATTGGAAAGGTCCAAACCATAAGGCAAATAATTGGCTTTGTTTAGAGTAGAAAGATGGTTGTTGTTTCCAGGATCTACACTTGAATCTCCAAAAACCAAGATACATGTCACATTATTCTTCGCTGCCACTTTCCTCAGCTCACCTATTTCTATGGCTTCTAATACAGCATTATGATGAAAAAGCACCAGTGCCAGAAATATGAGAATAATCAACCTCACTGACATTTTGATGCTTTTCATTTCATTCAAACGAAAAAAAAGAGAAGATACCGAGTATATAAGCTTGCTGTTTCGTAATACTACTGTGGCAAAGTGAACTCTGCCTGTGTCTTAAATAGTGTAGAGGGACTTTAATATTGTTAGGTCAACAAGCAGCGACCTATTATGCGGTGGCAGACATAAGAAATTGAAGTGAGTAAGACGTTTGTGTGAATCTTTTGGCAAAGTAATTCTACTAGTTAATTTTACACTCTAGTCACTAAATATCCACTATAATAGTAGGGGGCAATTTTAAAGACCTTGTAATAATGCTAACTATTATTCTAACTACGTTAAGATCTTGCATTAGTTGATTAAATTTAAGACGTTAATATTAAAACGGGACATACGTCATACGTCCCAATAAAAACTAAGGAAGACGGAGATAATAGGAAATATTGTGAAAAGCCACATCCATAATACTTATTGTTTTTTTTTCCTTTTTTTTCGGGTAAAAACATCCAAGGTGTGTTTGGTATGAAGCAAAATGTTTTCATGAAAAATGGTTTTATGGAAAATGAGTGGTTTTATCACTTATTTTCCCTTGTTTGGTTGGTGAATGGAAAACATTTTCCGGAAAATATTTTTTATTGTTTGGTTAGAGAGTAGAAAATATTTTTCGGAAAATGTTTTCCTTCATAGTTCATACCAAACACACCCATTGAGATTGAAATTTTAAGTTGCTTTCATTGCATTTCTTTATCAGCCTACCTTTAAGTAGGCTAATCCGCGGCCTGATTTTCAAATTGTCATGTGGCAGTTTAGAAGATTTAGACATTTCGAATTGGTTTCTAGTCAGCCTGGAATTCACAGCAAAAAAAAACCATTCCTTTATCTGAAATATTTTTTTTATTTGAATAATTATCCTTGTTAATACTATTTCAAGAATGCAGAATCCCCATTATTACATCTTTGAACTAATATTTTTCCCTATGAAACTAAAAAGAAGGAATTTGATCAATGATCTCGTCGTACAATCTCAAGATATCAAAGTCATTGACAAACATCTCATAAAATTTGTAGCCGTACACACATTAATTTTCAGCCAACCTTGAGCGGCATCAATGGCACTGCTGGTCCTAACTCCTAATTATAGTGCATGTATAACAAAAGAGAAATAGTTGGAATTGGCCATTGGTCAAAGTGCAAGCAAATAATTCAGATTTTCTTAACATTGGCGGTTGCAGATTTTTCAATTACCATTGACCATTATAAACTCAGACTCGTACGAGTAGTTGTGAAGTCTAGCGACATCATCAATCTGTCCGTCCATTTGCTAATCCAACCAAAAAAAAAGAACAACTTTTTCAAAATCCTTTTGCGAAGAGTTCACATACATAATTTATCTTTCTTTGCATTCTATTATTCCAATTTCCCCACTATTTCCTTTGGCTATATGCTACCAAATTCTATATCCACTTTTAGTAGAAAACTCTCGACATAATTTAATTCGTTGCTACCTAACTACTAGTATACAGTATACACATTCACGAAAATGATCTGAAAACCTGCAAATTCAAATCGAGAACTAGAAAAGCGACGCGTCTTGATGTCATAGTAACAGTAACTATAATCAATAGGACGGTAGGCAATTAAAAGCTTGAGAAAGTAGGTAAAATTCAAGTTCTAAAATTTGATGATTAATCATGGGTAAATTACAAACCAGCCGATGAGGCGAAACTAATTGCATTCACTAGCCAAAAATTACATATATATATATATATATATATATATATATATATATATATATATATATATATATATACCAAAAAAAGAAAATTATCGGTTAGTATTATTTTTTAAAGCGGCTAATTTATATAAATTTCACGTTTATCATAGCATCAAACTGAGTGGGTAAGCTAGCTAGGCCCAAGTACGTTTCACACTCCACTCAAACATAAATGAAACATGTTGAAATCAACATGTGTAATATGAAGTAGTACATAAGCAATGATATTTGTACATAGTTAATTACTATTAGTTTAGCACTAATAGTTAGTTATATGTATTGTTAGAGGAATAGGGGTTATATATGTATGGGTTACACACGTGTACATTGAGGTGTAATAACAGAGTGAAAATTCTCCAGAACTGTCCTGTCTCTCTCTCTCTGCTCTATGCTCTTTCTTTCTTAGCTCAAAGAACACATCTCTTCCTCCTTTCAATATGGTATCAAAGCCATAGATTTATGGCGATTTTTGACCTGATTCTTTGAGGAATCTAAAATTAGTATAGATATATTCACTCAATCTTGTCGGAGAAGTGAGAGATTAAGAGAGTTCGTCAAAAACTTGGGGAATTCACCTACGATTTGCGATTGATCTCATAATACACAAATTCCGGCAAAGTGAAAGGTTTTCCTTGAAGATTGATGCAGATTCTACCTTCGAATCACTGATTTCAAACCTCGACGATGACGAACACAACTCTTGAGACCGGGAAGGACGACAGAGAAAAATTCACGAACATTCATCCCAGGCATCCTCTGTACTAACACCCCTCGGACAGTCCAGGTAGTGTGCTAATTCCTCAACAACTAGCAGGAATAGAAAACTATACAGCTTGGAGTAATTCTATGCGAGTAGCTTTATTAGCCAAAAATAAGCTAGGGTTCATAGATGAAAAATGTCAGAAAGAACAGTATAGTGGTGATTTAGAGCATGAATGGGAGAGATGCAATGCATTTGTGTTATCCTGGATAACTAATTCAGTGTCTAAAGAGCTAGCAAATAGTATAATGTACTCAACCAATGCCTATAGTGTTTGGACAGACCTAAAGGAAAGATTTGATAAGAAAAATCTCACTAGAGTTTATCGACTTCTCTGAGAAATTTGTACACTAGTCAAGGAAGTTTATCAGTGTCAAAATATTACTCAAAACTGAAATGTGCATGGGATGAGTATTGGTCAATGGTACCATTTCCATGTGACTACACTAAGCATAAGGAATATGCTAAACACATGGAGCAACAAAGACTAGTACAATTTCTGATGGGCTTAAAAGAGACATATGCACAGGCAAGGAGTCAAGTCCTATTGATTGTCCTTGTTCCCACTCTCAATCATGCATACAACATGATAATGCAGGATGAAAGCCAAAGAATGCAATCAAATATGATATCTCAGGTAGTACCAGACCTGCAACAACTTGATTTGAATGATCCTGCAGCATTAGCCTTCATTCAAAGTAACGGGTTCAGAAAGAACAATGGAAATAGTGCATTGCAATGTGACTATTGTCATATGAAAGGTCACAAGAAAGAAAATTGCTATATGCTGGTAGGATATCCACCTAACAACAAGTTAAACAAAAGGAGAACTTTTGACAAGGGGAATTCAGGAGGAAACAGGGGACCTACAACCAATAGTGTGAGTTGTGTATTGAGGAATCTGAAGGAACCAGCTCGGTATATAGCTCATCAGGGCTCAGCAACATGCCATTTTTCACTCCAGAACAGTATCACCAACTATTGAAGTTAATTGACAAAGAACCTACAACAACAGATGCAAGAGTAAACATGGCAGGTATAGCTGATCTCCTTAATGCATGCTTCTCTGTAGGTTCTAAAACTAACTCCTGGGTCATAGATACTGGAGCTTCGAATCATATGGTTTCTTGCTTGGACATCTTAATCGAATCCCATTTTGTTGCCTCTAACTCTAGTAAAGTACACTTTCCTAATGACAACACCACTTCTGTAACACATACATGATCATTAACTCTTTCTAATGACCTAGAACTATATAGTGTCTTTATGTTCCTAACTTCAAATACAATTTGTTATCTGTTTCAAAGTTAACTAAAGAACTGAAGTGTTGTGCACTATTCTTTCCTGAATTCTACATTTTTCAAGACCTCTACAATGGCAGGGTGAGGGGAATTGGTAAGGAGAAGGATGGACTTTACATACTTCAACCTGCCAAGATACCACCACCTGTCAAAGTACCTGAAACACCTTCAGCTCCTGCTTTCAACTCTTTTATACCTTCAGCAATTCCAGCTTCTACTATTCCAGTCCCAGAGTCATCTAATGTCTCATCAAAGTCATGTTCACATTCTTCCATTTGGCACAAAGACTTGGTCATGCCCCAGTAGCAGTATTACAAAAGATTCCTTCATTAAAGAATCATTTTCTGAATAAAGACAGTTTGAACTGTACTGTTTGTCCTTTAGAAAGGCAAACTAGATTTCCTTTTTCTACTAGTACAAAGAATAGTGTATGTCCTTTTGATCTTGTACACATGGATGTTTGGGGTCCTTATAGACAATGTACTTACAATGGATACAAGTATTTCCTTACTATTGTAGATGAGTACTCTATAATGACTTGGATCTATTTGATGAGAATGAAAAGTGATGTCTTCCTTTTAATCAAATCTTTTCTTACTCTTGTCAAAAATCAGTTTTCTGCCACAATTAAGATCATAAGATCAGATAATGGTATTGAATTCTTCAATTCTCAGTGTTCAACTCTTTTCTCATCAATTGGCATTTTACATCAAAGTTCTTGTGTACATACTCCACATCAAAATGGAGTAGTAGAAAGGAAACATAGACATTTACTTGAAATGGCTAGAGCCCTTAGGTTTCAAGCTCGTGTACCATTAAAATTCTGGGGGGAATGTGTACTAACTGCAGCCTTTCTTATTAACAGACTGCCATCTTCAGTCCTATCTGGGAAATCTCCTTACGAGGTTTTTCATGGACATCCTCCCTCACTTGACATCATTAGAGTTTTTGGATGTCTTTGTTATGCAACCACCTTACATAACGCTGACAAGTTCTCACAAAGAGCCATACCTGCTATCTTCATGGGTTGTTCAACTTCTCAAAGGGTTATAGATTATACAACATCTTCACTGACACTTTCTTTATTAGTAGGGATGTTTCTTTCAGAGAAACAGTGTTTCCATTTAAGTATTCTAAATCCACCTTCCTACATACTCTATTTTCAAGCTCATCGCCTACATTTCCTGTCAGTTCTCCAACTTTCCCTTGCGATGATTCTTTCCATACTTCTAGGATCTCTTACCACCTGCAACTCTAGACTCTAATTCTCCGTTAACTTTTTCTGAACATCCCTTATCTCCATCTACCTCCTTTTCTATGTCCTCTCCACTTCACTCACCTTCCTCTACTTCTCCTCTTCCTTCTCCTACTCCAACATCCTCTCCTATCCTGTCTGATCCTCCTCCAATCTTATCTTCAGCTCCACAGCACCAGGATCTGCCTCATACTCCTGCAACTCCTTTAAGGAAGTCTGGAAGGCCATCTAAAACACCCTTGTGGCTTTCGGACTTTGTCCATCAAGTCAAACCTTCATCCTCCACTCCTTATTCCATTACTGATTCTATTAATTACTCTTCCTTATCCTCTTCTTATCAAACCTGCTTGTCTTCCTATTCATCTATCATTGAACCAACCTCTTTTGATCAAGCTGTCATTGACAACAATTGGGTTCAAGCTATGAAACTTGAGATTCAAGCACTCACAGACAATAATACCTGGGAGTTAATGACTTTGCCTGCAGGGAAGTCTCCCATAGGTTGTAAGTGGATTTATAAGATCAAGTACAAAGCTGATGGATCTATAGAGAGGTATAAAGCCAAGTTAGTGGCTAAGGGGTTTACTCAGCAGGAGGGTCTAGATTATCATGAGACCTTTTCCCCTGTAGTTAAAATGGTCACAGTCAGGAGTGTGGTTGCCTTGGCTTCTTAGTATGCTTGGCCCTTGTTCCAGATGGATGTTTATAATGCATTCCTACAAGGTGATCTTTCAGAGGAGGTCTACATGTCCTTACCATAGGCTTTGGTAGTCAGGGGGAGACTAGAGTGTGTAGACTACTCAAGTCCCTGTATGGTCTAAAGCAGGCCAGCAGGCAATGGAACCTGAAGCTGACTTCAACCCTTGTAGACTCTGGTTTTAGCCAAAGCAAACTGGACTATTCCTTATTTACCAAAAGGAGTGGTAGGGATATAGTAATCATATTAGTATATGTAGATGATCTCCTAATTACAGGAAGTGACAATGATCTAATACAAGATGCCAAAAGGATTCTAAATGGTAATTTCAAGATGAAAGATTTAGGAGAGCTCAAATTTTTTTCTTGTTATTGAGTTTGCAACATCACACAAAGATATGTTATGAATCAAAGGAAATATGCCTTAGAGCTTATCTCAGAATGTGGTTAGGGGGAGCAAGACCAATTATATTTCCACTGGATCAAGATGTGAAGCTAACTAGTGTGGAATATGACAAATTGTTTGGGATACAGGAGAATGATCATAAACTTGAAGACACAAGAGTATACCAGAGGTTAATTGGCAAACTTCTATATCTGGCAATCATAAGACCGGATATCTCTTTTGCAGTTCAGACTCTAAGTCAATTCATGAATGCACCAAATCCATCTCACTATGAAGCAACCCTAAGAGTAGTAAAATATGTGAAAAACATCCCAGGGAAAGGTCGACTGATGAGTAGCAAACAGAGTGGCAAGGTTATGGCATTTTGTGATGCTGATTGGGCATCATGCCCAGTAACTAGAAAATCAGTAATAAGCTATTGCATAAAACTTGGAGATTCAATGATTTTCTGGAAATCCAAGAAGCAGAGTACAATTTCAAGAAGCTCAGCAGAAGCAGAATGCAGTAGTATGGCCACAACTGTAGCAGAATTGGTGTGGTTACATGGATTACTCGAAGAGGTAAGTATGAAGGTTGATTTGCCCATGGAGTTATACTGCGACAATAAAGCAGCACTGCAGATTGCATCTAATCCTATGTATCATGAGCGTACAAAGCATATAGAAATTGACTGTCATTTTATTAGAGAAAAGTTTAAGTAGGAATGATAAAAACAGCTCATGTGCCAGCAAGGAGCAGATAACAGACATGTTGACCAAGGCACTCGGGAAGCAACTGCACAGTGAATTAGCAAGTTGGGTATGATAAACATTTTTCATCACCAACTTGAGGGGGAGTGTTGAAATCAACATGTGTAGTATGAAGCTGTACATACGAAATGATATTTGTACATAGTTGATTAGTATTAGTTTAGCACTAATAGTTAGTTATATGTATTGCTAGAGGAAGTTAGAATATGGATTATATATGTAAGGGTTACAGACGTGTACATTGAGGTGTAATAACAGAGTGAAAATTCTCCAGAACTTTCCTATTTCTCTCTCTGCTCTGTGCTCTTTCTTTCTTAGCTCAAAGAACATATCTCTTCCTCCTTTCAATAAAACATCAACTGCTACTCCATGAATCTCTCAAAGAAAGACTTTCGATGTCAATGTGGATGCTTTTAATACAGCAAGATATGGTGTTTTAATGTTGTCCACTAAATTATCAACTATAATGTGAATGTATCTCTCATTACCCCAAAGGTAAACATCATACGTAGGGATCCAAAACAAAATTTGTGGATCTAAGCTTCAATAATGGATTTATCACACCTTTTTCGATCATTAACTAAACATTTGGATGTCTAATTTAGGTTAGAAAAAAATGGTCGATGAAGTGTGTAATTTAGATTTGGAAAATGAAATATGAACGAGGATATTTGGGTTTTCACAAATATATGAATAAGGACATATAACGTAAAACTTAGAGCAACAACTTGTTCAAAAAATCAAAATTTCGATTTTAGGCCTATGAGGACGATGAAATGTCTCTTATTACTAGTTGTAATATCCTTGCTTTTTTATGACCAAAACCTTCATTAAGCATTTAGTTATGATTAATTATCTTAACTAAGTACTTTCTTAACAAATCCGTTGTAGTCTAGTCGGTTAGGATATTCGGCTCTCACCCGAAAGACCCGGGTTCAATTCCCGGCAACGGAATTTTATATTTTTCCAAATCCGAATCCGATTTTTCGCTGACAAAGCCCGTGAAGACCAATGAAATTAAATGATTATGACACCCGAATCACAGCATCACAGTGGCGGGAAAAAAACCAGAGAGACACCAGGAGTGAGTGAGTCAACTCGTTACTTCCTAGGGTTTTTGAGAAAACGAAAAAGTTGGAGAGGAAATCGAAGAGAGAATGGAAAAGAGAAAGAGCGGAGGAGGGCGAGGAAGGAATAATGGAGGAATTGAGGAGAACACAATGGCAATTCTCGATACTTCTGGTTTTAACCGGCACTCTCACCACCGCCTCGACGATAGTACGCCCTTTTCATTTTTCTTATTTCTTTCATTTGTTCATCCGTTAATTATTTCTTCGATTCTGATTTTTCTTTGTAGGGCTTGTTTTTCTGGAAGCTGTTCGCTCTGCTTCGTTACTTCCTGATAATGGAACTCCGCCTACTAGGTAAGTAATTATTCCCCCCTCTCTATTTTGTCATTTTTCTGTTTGTATTAGAGTATATAATACATTCTAGTCTTTATAAGTTTTTAATCTGAAATTTGAGATGTTATGATTCTGACCATCCAATTAAATGGATATACTGGAACAGCACGATGTGGCAGGCAATTTTCCAAATTTTGAAGGAAGAGACTTCTCTTGAACTAATAATGGGAAGTTATCAACTTCTAAATGAGTTGGATAAGGTACACACTTGCTTTATTCATCACGTTTTATGTTTTAAAAGAGCTGTGGGATCAGTCACTATGCCATCAGGATAGGCTGCATACATCACACCCCTAGGGTGCGGCCCTTCCCTGGACCATGCATGAATGCGGTATGTTTGGTGCACTAGGCTGCCAATTCTTTTTATTACCGCATTTGACATTTTTACTTGGATGAAATTTCTTGTGAACGTAGCGCTATCCTAGGTTGTGCTTGCCCAAAATGGAGAAGTCAGAATCATGTCTGCCACCAACTATTTCGAATGAACCTGTTGTGGTTGAAGAGGTATCTCCATCCTCTCATAGTTGACGACTCCGTGGTTCCCAGACAGAGTTGTTTTGTCAAAAGTAACGATTGGGTACTCTATTTCAGGCCTGGTGTCCATTTACCCTTGGATTGGATAGGGATGATGAAACAAATAAAGGTTCGAGTGCATCAATTGACTCCTTGGTGAGTCAGATCGTACGTAATGGCTATATCACACATACACATAAATTTCTTATGTATATTTCTCTATTCTACTAATCTTGTTATTCCTCTCACCTGTATCTTGGTGATGGTAATCTTTCTGGTGATTTTAGGGCTTTCATTCACTAATACAAGAGCTTGGGAAAATGGTCAACCAGAAATCAAAAGCATTAGAAACAGAGGTCGGATACCACATTGAAGCTTTCTTTCCATTTCTGCGACTTGTAATATTATATGTTTTCCTTTAATATCATATAGCTTGTGAGTTCAGATACCAGTAGTAATTGCAATTTCAGCTATATTTAGTCCGGTAGCCAGGTTCTTTTCACATTTTTCCTGATTTATGAGCAGATGTTGCATTTCCTTGAGCATGTAAGAAGTATATAAGTTATTATTTGTTTTTCACATTTTTCCAATGGGAGCAGTATCTCAGGGTGAGCATGTATCAATTAACCAAGTGCTAGTACAGTTAGCTTCTGACCGTTCTTTTTCACCAATAGTGTGTATTTTAGCTTTTACTTTAGATATATAGTTATGTCGAATTCCTTTGTGGCTATACATTTAGTTGAACATGCCTTTCCGACAATCTTGACTAATAAGATAATTTCACGGGTCAATTTTATACTTATTTCTTTTCGATTAATAATATAGTTCACAGGTCAAAATTGTACTTAAATCTTTTGTCAGCCATTTAGTTCGTCAATTTGTGCGTAGTGTCATCATTGAAGAATTGCCTTGTCTTTCATCTTTCATCAAATAGTCTGACAAGATCAATTGCAGTTTTTAAGGAAGATGTTACTACTTCACTATCTTGTCAGTGTGCTTGAAGCAGACTTTGTGCCTCGTAATTATGCATTTAAAGGTAATGATTTTCAGAGGATTCTAATTCTAATGAAGTGTTATGCACCTTAAGAAATCTTCTTGAAAAGTTAGGAGGTTCATCTTGCAGAAAAGATGAGGTGGACCCTTTTGAGGGATTCGTTGCTCAACATGCTTCTGGTATATTTTTCGTTTTCAAATGCTACCGTTATTTATTTGTCTGTAATATTGCTACTTAGAAGTTTTAGATTACTGAGGTATGCATTGGATGCCATTACTTATTTGTCTTCGCTCATTGTTCAGGGGTCAAGAAAAATAATCTACAAAGGCTTAGTCAAGGACTGCCTGTCGGTTATATGTGATGTGTTCTCTGACTTATCTGACCAATTGGAGTCCACCTCTGATCTGGATTCAGTGGCACCTCCCTCAAAGGAGACATCATGTATTAACACTTCCGCTTTTGCACTAGCTTTACCTGAACTCAGACGATCTACTTGTATCTGTCTGAAGAAGCTCCTCATAATGGTAAATTCTTGTGCATTCTATTCCTTAAAATATGTATTTGACCAATTCTAACTGTGACTTGTTTCACATTTAGATGATGGAGCTGGATACATCACGGGACGTAGCAGATGTTCAAGGCCTAACCACCAGAGCTGATGGTGTGAGGTATTTCCTTAAATGAATTAATTTACTTTAAATAAAACCATCAGATTATGAAATATAATTGATATCGGAGATGGTGCAGAACACCTGCTGCAGAGATCATTTTGGATGAACTCGCTTACAATTCTGACATGCTCTCCCCCTTTTTTCAGGTAATATCCTTCTTTCCTCTTTTAGTAGGACAATGAGATTATACTCTGTCTTTATTGGGAAGATAATAACATTTTCCCTACATGGTTCTTGGAAATCTTACATCACAAATGTTCAATGAAACTTTGAGCATTGTACATGTTTCTTTGTCATTCTGACATAACCTTGGTTGTCAAGAAGAATGTTACCTAAAATGATAAAATAAATTTCTACAGGTCTTGGATGACCCCAGGTGGAAGCTAAAAATGATCATGCCGTATTTTCAGAAGTACATTCCTAAGGTAAATGGATTCTTCTGTCATCATGACAGATCTTAAGAAATGTAAAAACAGAGACTGGAAGTATTTCCACTTAATTCACCTGGTAGGAATTATGTAGTGGAAGGTAGGCTAGATACAAGAATTGGGGCAATGTTTTAGTTTATCAAATTTAGTTTCATTATGAAGCTTAGGATTTTGTTATTGGCATTCTGTTGTTATTGTTGCTCTGTTTTGTTTGCTTTGGTCTTTGGAGTCTTTATAACTTTTTGGTGATAGAATACATGTAATATGTTGGGATGTTAGACAATATGCTCTTGATACATACCTCCTTTTCTGCTTTTAAAAATACTTCTTTGAACCTTTTCTACTAACTTCTTCTATCCTGCTAACCTTTCCGCTTTTTTGATTACTGGGTTCATGCTGCAATCTTTATGTGGCGCTTCTAATGGCAGGCTTACGTCATACGAAGTGTCCTACCCTATTGAACAGTTATGCTATTTGTTCAATGCTGTCCAACTAGCCCACCGGGATAATCCACACTTCTTTAAATTGATCTGCTGCTGGAAAAGCATAAAAAAAGGGTTCTCTTTCTCCATCTTGTAGGACATTTTGCGTGTTTTCATGAGATGAGGACGTGAACATATTTTGATTCTTGCTACAACATAAAGTCAATTTCTAGTGACTTGGTACTTGTACATGTTCGAATGACAGTTAGACTTGTCTGTAGTGACATTTTTCTGGAAGCTATCTAGATGTTCTCAGTCCTATTTTTGTTGCACTGCATGACAAATTCAGTTTTACAACAAAAAAGTACACTCTTTTATATATAATTACAGGGATGAGTTATTAGTTATTTGTTAAGACAGTACGTTCGCTAGATGTCCAAGCCACCAGATGTTATCTACAT